TCTTTGGATGTCGGTTGTTTTCGAAGAGTGGAGACTTTGTCGATTCGCATGGGTAGCAGCCTCCATTTCAGGGTATGGATTATCTCTTCTGTCTTTGTTGACAATGGCAGCCATGAGCGTGGACAGACTTCTCGCCCTGTTTTTGGGGCTGAGATACAAACAAATTGTAACTTTGAAGCGCACATATATCATTGTCGCTACTTTTTGTATTGTAACCTTTGTCGCTACTCTATGCAACGTGTTAGATTCTCGTATAGCGCTTTGGTTCGGTCGAATTGTCATCTCATGTTGCCTATTAATCTCGATTGCTTCATATGCTAAGATTTTCTGTGCTCTTCGCCGCCATCACGCTCAAATACAAAGTCATGTTCAACAACAGCCGAGCCAACCAAATGCATTGAACATGGCGCGATACAGAAACGCAGTGTACAGTGCACTGTGGGTGCAGTTAGTGTTACTTGCTTGTTATGTGCCAGTGATTTTAATGGGAATTGTGATGGCTCATATAAAAGGAAATTCATCACATTTAGTCGTCGCTCTTGGAATAGCGAGTACCCTGGTTTATTTTAACTCGACTTTAAATCCGTTTCTTTATTGCTGGAAGATTAGTGAAGTAAGAAGAGCAGTTAAGAAGACAATCAGACTTCAGTTAGATCTGCCATTATACTCTTTTTTAGTTGTTTCAAGCGAGTAAGTAACGTGACGATGCTATTAGATAACGCCACCTGCCGGATAAATCATTGAATAGGAAGAAGTAAGAAGCTTAACGAAGTTGCTGTACAAAGCTTTTTAGATATTCTCACCATAGATCAACATGGCTCATTTTGCGCATGATAAAGCAAAATCATGGAATCTACACGTTAACGATGTCGTACGAATTTGAGAATGGTATTCATCTTAATTGAGGGAGGCGTTTGACTACAGTCGGCTTGATACAAAAAAAATTCCTTCTCTTATTAACAACCAATGATTTCAATCGCGGCTTCTGTGGATAAACTTTATTTCCAAGTGTACGCACAGCTAAAGGACAGAGAGTGGTATCACTAACGGCAATACTTGGGACAAGTAAGTTTCATGCGACGGCAGTTATTTTGAATACAACAACCTATGATTTGATCGACATAAAAAATGCCGTCCACGCAAAGTAGGGCAAAAACCGGGACCCTAGTTTGATTTTACTTACTCGTTTTACTATCTTAGTGATAAGAAAGTACATGTATAGGATAAAATTGATTCCGAAAGGGTAGTGAAGGAGTGACTTTTAAGTTCTTCTCTTACGAGTGGTGAAATAATTTCAAATTTTTAACCTCACTGCATGAAATAAAGCGCATGACTTTGACACGATATTGCCGTACGAACCGTTCAAAGTACGTCTTGTTAAAGACAAGAAATCGTAATTTTGAGCGAAAAAGTCCAAAATAAATGATATGTTTCATCAAAAATTTAAGGCCGGTTATTTACACAAGGTCTAACCCAAACCATGGTTTTACGCGAGCAGTGAAAAGCAGGTGTTCTTTATAAGAGGGTAGATTAATCATAATAAATGTCCTTCCTTTATTAGATCTCGACCTTTTAGATACTATTCACAAAAATATATATACCAAGATAAAAGGTTCAGCTAAATTGAAGATGGCTTAGAACGCAGTTTTTTCAAACAACGACTGAACTTTGTTTAAAGAACTGGGTCTAAGTGTCAATAGATAAAATCCCAGTGAAATATATTAACTTTCGAGATTCTGTGGTCTCCTGTAGTCTTTCCTGAAGCTAGTAAAAATTTCCATTTTTCTGTTTGATGGCAAAATATTTCGTAGAAGTGGAGAAGACTTATATTTATAGCATTTATTCCAAGATAAAGTCGAAATGGTGCCGATGGACTCACTAACTTCTAAGAAGCTCATTGATAACATTGTTTGAACAATGAAAACCCGAAAGGGATTAGAGGCTAAGCTTTTTTGTGCAAATAAAGAGATCATCTAGATCACAGGCGATGAGAAAGGATTGTTATTATTTTGAGGGTGTTTATCATTACCCAACATTAGATTATCATAACCATTTCACAAAGAAAGGTGCAGAAATAACAAAGGAGAACTATACAGGCATCTCCTGATGGCGATCGAACTGAGAAACATGTCACCAAGGTAGAACTAAATATTGACTCGAGATTTCGTTTTTATCAAAAATCCTGACGTGAGAAATATGAATCAAGGATTTCTAACCAAATAACAATTTGCGGTGCATGGCATTGTTTAAGACGTTTTACTTTACTAAAACCAAACCTGATTATCGCTGTTTCTCGTAAAGTTCTCTTTTAAGGATCAATCGTTTGTGAAAGACAAACTCTGCAAAATTATCAGAAGATCCATGGAAATCATGTAAATGGTTCACCATTTTTTTTTTGGACATAAATGACAATATTCCCGAGCGTTTCAAACGTGTAAACGCGATTGAAAAAGTTTTCATATAATTATTCATATGATTATTCAGTTTCAGTGATCAACGCAGTTTAAGTGATTTCTAGGCTGGGCAGTTGCTCTCAAGACGCAACATTTCATGTTGCAATCGCACGTAACCTGAAGGAAAGACCAAAACGACTACAGAATGATGGCGGAAACAAATCTAGCCAAAGGTGAAGCACAGACAAACGAATTTAAAGATCTTCGGTGCTCCCCTTCTTTGGCAGGTGGATTACAACCACAGTCAATCTATTTCTCAGCTGCAGTTCACATTCTCCTCTCCATCACAACATTTCTTGGGAATTCTCTTATCCTTGTTGCCCTTCAAAAGGAATCTTCCCTTCACCCGCCGTCCAAACTCTTGTGTCGTTTTCTGGCAACAACTGACCTATTGGTTGGTAATTTTAGCCAGCCTATCATGGCTACTTATTTTATGTCCTTGGCTAACGAAAACTGGAGTCTTCGTCGATACGCAAGCGACGCCACCTTCACAATAAGCTATACATTTTGCGGAGTTTCTTTATTGACGATGATGGCCATAAGCGTGGACAGGCTTGTAGCCCTATTGTTGGGATTGAGATACAGACAAACTGTAACTTTGGAACGCATATATATCATGCTAGCTGCCTTTTGGGTTTTATCAAGTTTAACTGGTTTGTGCTGTATTTTAAATTACCTTATAGCCCTATGGCTCGGTCATATCAGCATATCACTATTTCTGCTAACCTCAATCACCTCGTACACAAAGATTTTTTGTACTCTCAGTCATCATCAGGCTGAAGTACAACATCATGTCCAACAACAGCTGAGCCAACCAAATGCATTGAACATGGTGAAATACAGAAAAGCGGTGTACAGTGCACTGTGGGTGCAGTTTGCATTAGTTGTTTGTTATTTCACATATTTTATAATAGAAACTTTGATCAGCCAAAGTAACAGATATTCATTGCACTTAGTCGTCTTCTGGCGGTTAACGATAGGCTTAGTTTAAGTTAACTCTACATTAAATCCGTTACTTTACTGCTGGAAGATTAGAGAAGTGAGACAAGCAGTGAAGCAGACAATAAGACAAACTCTTTGCTGTCCGTGGAGCTAGATCCTTCTCGGGTTTCACTCCTATCTATACTTGATTGCTTCATGATGCTTCTGGATACTGAACGTTTGTCGGATCTTTAATGCAAAGGAATATATGAAAAACTGGAAAAACATCCTGCCTCACTTATTATGGAAGATAATTTGCAGGAAAATTTTCCCACGAGAGGCAGCGTTTCTATCCTTCATGGTCCTGTAACATAAAACGTGTGTATCTATAAAAGGAACTTTTAGAGTTTATCGACGTAAGAACATATCATTGAGAGAATTACTCGTTACAAAGAAATTGACAAAGAGTTATATTTAATGCAACTGTGGGAGGAAATTGGCTTCTCTTGTGACAGAATTGAGTATTGGAATTGTAAATGATTTAATTTTGGAGGAATGTGGGCTTCAATCTTGAAGCGAAATGTTTCCTATATCATAAATCATTTCTTGAACAAGCTTGTTCGGTCAAGATGTCTGGTTAATAATAATAATGTTGCAAGATGTTGCGTTGAAATATTGCGTGCGTGTGGCCGGGCCTTAAGAAATAAGGGTCTGAGTGATCGTGACCGGCCAGGTGCTGTTGATAGGAAATATCTGTCGTTTCAAATACAGGTAACTAGCAGGGAAAAGAAAACGACCGTATATTGAACTGCATGGCGACAACTAATTATATAGGAGGTGTAACACAAAGGAACACCAGGTTTGGAAAGCGGCTTTTCAACCTTTCTGGCTGATGAGTTGCCGGCATCAATCAGCCATTTCCTTCTCTGCGGTGTACTTTCTCCTCCCATCACAGCATCTCCTGGCAACTCTCTTGTCCTTGTTATAAACAGTTGTCAACTTGAATTTGTTTTGTCATTAGAAAAATATCCACATTGCTTATGAATGTTTGAAAATGTCATTGATAATAACAAACATTGTGTTAGGGGGTGTATGAATTTAAATAAACACTTTCCTTTTCTTAATTAATTCTTTCCAAAACTTCCAATTTTCCGAGACGTAAGACTCCATCTTCTCCACTCAGCTAAAGGTGAATTTCTACCCGAGAAGACGACGTTTAAAATAATTGTGAAATACTGCTAGTATCAAAGATGTCTGTCTGTACGTTTGACTCTTAAAGCTCATTTGTTCCTATTTTGGTCACGTTTCCTAATGATCTTTCATCGATAGGAGCTAGTCAAGTGTCCATATCATCTGTATAAAATTTTGCATCAAACCATTAAAATGTAAATGAATTCTAATATTAAAAGAACCTTAAATCTGAGGGGTTCCGGAAAAAAGAAACCAACTCTTTGGCACAACAGACAATTTTTTTACGCACTTTGAACAAGCAAACGCTGATGAGGAAGTCTCTATGTGTTTATTGAAGGAAGGTTCAGTCATCGTTGCACAGCTTGGGGTGTTTAAACGAAATATTTCTCGTTGCCAGTTGCCTCAGCACAAGAAAAAGGAAACGATTACAGAACAATGTCGACAACAAAGTTCACTAGGAGTGGAACACAGACGAAAACATATGTAGAACTGTTATGCACCCCATCTTTTGGAGGTGGATTACATGAAATATTTACTTTTTTCTCAGCAGTGCACATTCTCCTCTCCATCACAGCATTCCTTACAAATTATCTCATCATTGTTGCCCTTCACAAGGAGTCTTCCCTCCACCGACCGTCCAAACTCTTGTACCGTTCTCTGGCAACAACTGACCTGTTAGTTGGTCTTGTTGCCCTACCTCTCTATGCTACTTATTGGATGTCCTTAGTTCAGGAACACTGGAGCCTTTGTCAATACGCATTTGACGCAGCCTACATCACGGGGTATGCATTGTTTTTAGTGTCTTTGATGACGATGACGGCTATAAGCGTGGACAGACTTCTCGCCCTGTTGTTGGGTCTAAGGTACAAACAAATTGTAACTTTGAAGCGCACATATATCATTGTAGCTACCATCTGGATTTTATCTCTTGTCTCTTCTTTATGCGCTTTACTTGATGATCGTATAACTTTTTTGCACCGTCTCATAACTATACCTCTTTGCTTGGTTATTTCACTCGCATCATATACAAAGATTTTTCGCACTCTCAGATATCATCAGGTTCAGGCAGAAGATCCCGTTCAACAACAGCCGAGCCAATTAAATTTACTGAACATAGCTCAATACAGAAAAGCAGTGTATGGTGCACTGTGGGTGAAGTTAGCATTAGTTGTTTGTTTTGCACCATTATTTATCGTGGTAACCGTGATTGCACACAGTAAAACACATTCATCGCATTTGGTCATCCTAAGGGGAATAACCGTTGTCTTGGTATACTTTAACTCGACGTTAAACCCGTTTCTTTACTGCTGGAAGATAAGTGAAGTAAGACAAGCAGTAAAGCAGACAATCAGACAAGCACTTTGCTGTCCAAGGAGTTAGACCATCTTGAGTTTTACCCGATCGTACTGGTACTTTCAGTTCAAAACTGACTGATAGGGAACGCTCGTCAATCAGCTACACCATGATATATATCTTTGCTCGAGATCTCTCGATTGTATTTTTCGCACCTTAACAACTAAAGGGAAGGCAACCGAAAAACTAACAATAAATTTATAGAAATAGTTTTAGTGCTATCTCACATTATCATGATTAGATCAATTCATAATCTAAGAAAAGATGCGCGCACAGGATCATATTCACGTTTGTTATTATAAGAAAGTGTAAGGAACAAAATTGAAGCAAGAACGGTTAGTATAAAGTTCTCTTTCAGGTTCACCGTTTTGCTGAAATTATTTGCTAAAGGGAAAAAGGAATATTGAATGAAAAAAAAAATATATCGACTTTTAAAAATATCACATAGAAAGGGTTGCTTTATTTCCAGTTTGTTCATGGTGTATTTTTCAGTTGTCTCCAAGTGGTGATTGATTCTATGTTTACCATTTCCGAGCGATTAACTGCCCTAAACTTCCCTCTATATTTCTTTCAAGCCGTTTCACAAAGTTTTATGGAATTCAGGATTGACCAAATTTCATTATCGGGCCTAGAAATAGCAGTATATCTAAATATACTGCTTAGTTCTTTACTTAAAAAAAAAGTCGCAATCGAGTTCCTTTATTGTTTTGAAAACAGTAATATAGCTGATGTTTGCCAAGGGATATGACTTTAGTGCTAATTTGTACTTGAGCTAAATTTTACTGATTGAGGTACACGGCAAATAGCGGAAGTGAAGAAGGAAAGGTTATATTCCTAACTATTCAAAATTGAATGCGTAACACAGTTGAAAGAGGGATTTCGGAGAAAGCTTAAATATTGGTATTATTTTATAGTGAGATATCTCAAGTTATTTTTAACGCAGACACCTTGTTCCGGCGATGAAGGCAAATTACAGAATCTTTCTTCTACCTTTGCCAGCACAGCAAAGCTTACGACTTCATCACGCCGCCAAGCAAAGTGTAAAAGAAAGTACGAAAGTGCAAAATAGCACAACATGGGTCAAGTCTAAAACAACAATATGTGTAAGTCTAGGGCCGTAGAAACTTTGAAATTTATCAAGAAACTGAGAAAAACTACGCATCATTTAGATTCTCATTGTTTACAAAGGCAAATTATCTATCTATAAGCGCATGCGTAATCATTTGACCGCTGTGTTGCTCATTTATTACTGTCTACTAGTCAAGCTACAGTCGCTATTCGGAATAATTAAAGTGGAGATAAATGGGAGGGAGAATTGGTGGAAAAAGAACTTCTTAACAAGAAACAAATAAGTTGTTGCATTTTTTTATTTATCAACGAAAGCGCTCGTTTGGTTTGCTTCTCCGTTATTTCCCCATCGGTGAATAAAATAACGGATTAAAAGTTAAAATAAATAACGTACAGTCGAAAGAAAAGTAAATATGTTACGAAATGAATAATTTAGTATTTGATGAAATTTCGTACTCAAAACGAGGCTGAGGGTGTCATGGCTGGATGATGTCTCCTCAGCTTCCTGCATGCTTCATATCTTAATTAACACACACTGTTTACTGGTTAAGATGCAGTCGCTAGTCGGTCGGCGCGATACAGAGAGGCCGTGTACAGTGCACTGCGGGTGCAATTAGCATTAGTTGTTTGTTGCGCACCAATTTATAGTAAAACATATCAATCACACTTAGTCGTTAAATGGAGAACAGTTGTCTTGCTTCACTTTAACTTGAAGTTATATCCATTCTTAACTGCTGGAAAATTGGGGAAGTAAGACAAGCAGTAAAACAGACAATCAGAGAAGCATTTTGCTGTCCATAGCGTTACCTCCTCCTCGGTCTGATCTTTTAAGACTTTCACTAAGTCACGATTATTATTAGGGAGCGCTCGTCAAAAATATTATTGATTAAGCGGAAGAAATAAGAAGTTCAGTAGAATCGTTGTACGTCGAGCTTTTGTCAATAGTCTTTTTAAAGAGTAAACGCTAGTGAGGGAGTTCTGAAGTAAATGTTGCTGATGAAGGTAGAATTGAACAACTGTGCGACTAGTTTTGATAATTCCTTAGCATACGTCCATTGATTTTCGACCACCACTTATAAATTGTTTTCTTCACTTCAGTATTAAGATGTTACCGTTGTGATGAAAGGAAAATTTTGACTATTGCCCCAGAGCATTGCAAAATTACCTGCCGTTTACATGAGAGATTTCTTGATACAAAAACACTTTTATTATCTCACTAACCAGACGTAGGAAGTAAGAAAACTAGATCATAGGGTCTCTAGGCTAACTTTTCCTCGTTATTGTTTTGTACTATCTTCAATACAGGGAGAATATTTTAATTTAGTAATGGGCACTCAAACAGTTATATAGCCGATGTCTATTTGTTTGTCAACGAAATTATCTTCTAGTGCTAATTTGTACTAAAACTGACATTCTTTGAGATTAAAAACTTTTCGCAGCCCACCCAAACGCTTTAGTAGTTTCATCAGCTGCAGTCGCCATTCGGAGAAATTGATAAGTTGTTGGTTTGTCTATCAGCAATTTTCCCGTCCAAAAATAAAACAATGGATCTAAAGCTGATATATAAATATATATAAACCCATTTTCCAAAAGGTTGCTATTTGAAAAATATTTTAAATAGTCTGTATATATATTTTCTTTTCTTATCACATAGTGTCTCTTTTTGATGAGAAAAGAGAAGACATATTTATTTGATATAAATTTTCAAATTTGAAAGGTTTTTAAAAACAGGTATTTACGTATATGTATAACGTCGAAAGAAACGTAGTCATGTAAACGAGGCATAATACAAGTCCGAATATGTCGTGGCAAGCAGGTGTCTCCTTAACAAGTTATTCGTCCTCAGTGTGTGATAAAAAGCACGTGGCAGTTTTAAAGAGTTTGAAATATGGGTCAGGGTTGGTAAAGACGAAGCCTCTCCTGGAACAATTGTAAATTTTTTATCGATTGTTGATAAGCTTTGAGCGCCCATCCCTTCATTTTCCATCTCGATTAATAAATTATCCTGTTTACCTAATTATTATGAGCTAATTGTCATCACCAAAGAAGAGTCGTTAATTGCCTAAGAGAATCGCACGAACAGAAATTGAGTAACTTTCCTATTAAAGTTGCAGAAAATGGCTTGCTGGTGTGATAACTTGATCTTGTTACTATTTTGTTTTTAGTTCTAGTCGGAAACAAAACGGAGAGAAAAAAAGCTATTATATACACAGTTATTTTCAAATATTTTGAAACAAGTTTGTATGTGTGGCCGCGCATTAATTTTGAACAGTTGTGTGGTCTACATAGTACATTCGGTGATTGTGACGAATTCAATTTTTCTCCTAATACAATTGACATCGCCAGCTTGAGCTTTTGCATTTTTAGCTTTCCGTACCTGATAATGATTCAAGTCTTCACTTTACGCGAAAGATATGGACCCTTGACTAGCATCCTATTATAATGGAATTTGATTCTGGTAAAGAGCGGCTCTTTGTCGCTCCGTAAAAACAGTGAAATATCAGGTGTTTCTATATTTTTCTTTAATTGCAATTTCATAACAGAGGCACCCAAAGGTTCTTGGGAAAAAAAATGTTTTTTTTGACCCAACAGAAAATTTCCTGATGCATTGTAAATGAGTAAGTCTTTATGCGATTGTTACTTAGGAAGTTAGGCTTCAGTAATCCTTGCTGCCATTTTTCGTTTCAAGAACAGAAACCTAAAAGAAAAGGGAAACACCGAAGACAGAATTATGTCGACAACGAATTTCAGTAGCAGTAGAAGTCGCACGAAATCATTTGAAGAACTGCTATGTCCTCCCTCTTTAGTGGGTGGGTTTCAACAACAACCATCAATTTGTTTCTTAGCGGTTAACATTCTCCTCTCCATTACAGCATTTGCTGGAAATTCTCTTATACTTGTTGCCCTTCACAAGAAATCTTCCCTACACCCGCCGTCCAAACTCCTGTATCGTTGTCTGGCAACCACTGATCTGTTGGTTGGTCTTATTGTTCAGCCTCTCAATGCTACATATTAGATGTCCGTGGTTCAAGAACAGTGGAGTCTTTGTCGATACGCAAGGGGTGCAGGCTACATCACAAACTATGTATTGATTTTAGTGTCTTTGATGACGATAACGGCCATAAGCGTGGACAGACTTCTCGCCCTGTTGTTGGAACTGAGATACAAACAAATTGTAACTTTGAAGCGCACGTATACCATTGTAGCTAACTTTTGTGTTTCCACCCTTTTTGCCTTTTTAAGTGTAATTTTTATCTCCTTATAATCTTTTTGTACAGCTGCCTCATTATATCAGTTTGCCTGTTAATATCATTTGCATCGTACACAAAGATTTTTTGCACTCTCAGATATCATCAAGCACAAGTACGAGATACTCTTAGTCGTCATATGTAAAGTAGCAGTTATTTTGCTCTACTTTAACTCCAGGTTAAACCCGTTCCTGTACTGCTGGAAGATGAGTGAAGTGAGACAAGCAATGAAGCAGACAATTAAAGAAACACTTTGCTGAGTCAGGTCTTCCTCGAGTTCTTCAGACTTTTCAAGCAGACTTATTAAGTCACGAATATATTTGAAGAGCAGCCGTTAGATAAGTTATTGGATAAAAACAAATAAGTGGCTCAATAGAATAGTTGCACAGGCTATTGTCGATTGTCTTTAAATCTCTGAGAACAAATTAGGTGACCCTAGCTACCCTGTCTAAAGCCGATGCTGGGTGTTACGAGAAAACTATTTCAACTAGTCTTCCTATGATTAAAACAAAGCGCCCGACGTTGATGTTGACGCCATATTGCCAAAAGAGACGGTCCGGTTTTAGTCTTGAATTTGTTTTGTCTTCAGAAAAATATCCGTAAAGCTTATGTCAAGAAGTTTTCGCTACTTGTATATTTAACTGAAGGTTACGAAAGTACCGGGGTATATGAAATAAAATTGACGATCTCTTTTTGTTACAGAATTTTTTA